ATTAAAAACATGGATCGCTGACATGTCACAAAGCTTGGCACCTTAAGGATTAAAGGGATTTGGAGATAGTTTCTTAACCAAGGAGTAGTTTATTGAAAGGGATTACAAACACACAATCAGGCTATGGCTTGTATTCAAGCCGAGCTTTCTTCTGAGGTTTATTTATAGTATGTTATAATACCTATCCACACAGCTTGGAAAAGATGAAAGAGGAAGCAATGGGGGGCCTTTTCAAAAACAGAAAAGGAGAGAGAATCAGAAAACATGAAGAAGACAAGATTCCTCTTGCCAGAGAAAAGCCAGACAACGTTTTTTGGGTCAGAGAGGCTTTGCCACTGGGTTAACTGAATGCAATTTATATTCCCCCTGCATTGAATTTAATTATTAACTTTGAAAATGATGACAAAATCTCTGTCCCTGGTGGTTCACTGAGATCCAAGATGGAATTATTACAGTGCTTTGCAATGTTAGTTTGCAAACTATAGTTTGTGACTATAATGACTGTCAATTCCCCCCCCTTCTCCAACTTAAAAAGGGAGATAAATATTACAAAGCTGTAAACATTAATTTGGGGACTCATTTTATGGCTGATTGAATCAGAACTTGGCAAGTGATCTATCTATCTATCTATAATGGGCATATCAGAGATAGCTGACCGCATCATGTCTTCTGTGCTCCCCCAAGACCATTGTGTCAGATTATAGTGGTAGTTGGCAACAAGAACATAATTTCCTATGTCCTCTATCCTTATCACAACCCCTTGAGATATGTTTCTGCTAAACCCTCCGGAGAAAGGTTGTCTGTCTTTTCACATGGGGTTCTCACAGTGGTGAAACAATATATTTTGTTGAGGCTCATTATGACCCCCCCAATTATGTGTCCCAATTCAAGATGAAGCTATTTTAGAATACTATGGAATAGTTTTCCACAGAATGGGAATACATAACAATACATTTTTCGTTAAGAAGAGCTTTCTAATTCTATGAAACCTGCAAGTTGGCTACAACAAAATTTGGAAGATACCAGGAAACTTGGATGAGAGCCAGTGTGGAGTAGTGGTTTGGGTGTTGGACTACAACTCTGGAGACTGGGGTTTGATTCCCTGCTTGGCTATGAAACCCACTAGGTTCTCAGCCTCAGGCGAGGGCAATAGCAAACAACTCTTGCCAAAAACAAACAAAAACAAAAACAAAATTGTTTCACCTTAGGGTCTCCATAAGTTGGAAATGACTTGAAGGCACACAACAACAGGAAACGTGGGGGTGGGAACAGAAGATGTTGTTGTCTCTGCTAATAAAATAAGCAAACAGTAAAAGAACAGCCCAATGTGTCTGACCCTATAAGCCCTTCATCCACTGTGAGAGAAATTTTATGGAGCTCCATACAAAACAAGAAAAATGTCTTCATTATATTTATACGCTACCCTCAGATCCTATTGTGTAGGTTGGGCTCTAAATATTTGAAGAAAATAAATAAATGAAAATCATTTCTTCCCAGTGATGGCCTCAGCATCTAGATGCGGGTGGGAAGGGTGCTTTGTTGAATGCTGGCAATGTCCATGTGTTCCACAGAGATCTTGCTCCCTGGTCACTGCAAGAGTACTTATTGCAATTTATGAGATGTGATGTTTGGAAAGTTTTGCACATGAAGTTTAATTTCTTTTTTGCACCGAGGATAGGATTGTTTGGTCCCCAAGCTTTCTTCCTCACCTGATGCAGCAGCCACCAACTCCCTTTTCAAAAGCTTCACAGTTTGGTGCATCTCCCAAGCTCCAACATCAAAGCGAACTGATTTCCCCTTATATTCACCTCTCACGTCAGCACCTGAATGTAAAAGAGAGAGCTGCGGGGAAGCAAGGCACTTTAAAGCACCAAAGAGAGAGGTATTTTTCCCCCCAGAGACTTTTTTTTAATGTAAGAGGACTGAACCTTAATCTTAAGTAAGATTTTGCAGAAATTAAAACAAACTTTGAAGCTGAGAAGACCTCAGAAAGGATTACCAGGCCTGTCACTTTGTAAATTGACTGAAGAAAAGTGTTGTGCTGAGAATCAGAGGTCTGATGAGACTTGAGTGGCGAAAAGGAAAAAGGACTGCTGTAATGATCCCTTTCAGCTTGAGGAAAGGAAGTGGAAGATCTTTTTTTTTTTTTTTGTCCAAAGCTGCCATCAAAGTCATTGAAGGTGAAAGTCGGCAGCTGATGTTTCTGAAAATGAAGGCGCAAACTTTACATTACAAGGAAAAGCACAGACTGGCCAGCCTGGACACTGAGAAAAGATTTACTTCTCTTTTGCACTTATAGCCTATTTTATGCCAATGAGTTCAAAATGGTATATAATATATAACTTACCTCCTCCCTACTTTTATCCTAACATCAACCCTGAGATGTAGCAGAAGGTTGAAATGTAGGACATGTCCTGGAAAAAGAGGTCACCCTGATCACATCAGTCACCCTTCCCAAATCACCCGGAGTTTAATGGCTCAATGGGGGATTACACAGATGCTTCTGCATCTGGCTGTACATGACTTCTGCATTGTTAGAATATTGGAAATCCCATGCCAAATAGATTTCATGCCGGTTTCTCTGGTAGCCCTACTTCTAAGTAGACTGGAGGGACATGGTAAAGGGGCCATTTTGGGCTATTCCTAATCTTGAGAAGTGGAGTCAATATGGTGCAATGGTTTGAATATTGGACTAGGACTTAGGGACACCAGAGTTTGAATCTTCACTCAACTATGGAAACCCACTGAGTAACCCTGGGCAACTCTCAGCCTCAGAAGAAGACAATGACAACCAAATCTTACCAAGAAAACCTTGTGCCATGGTCACCAAAAATTGGGAGCACCTGGAAGGCACAGAACAACAGCAACATATCTTTAGGAAGGGTCATTTTCAGCTTCTCCTAGCCTGAGTCACTATCACCCCCACCATTTCTTGCAATTGGAAGTGACATTCCAGCAACTGGAAATTGCCCAGGGGATTTGGGGCAATTTTTCTGCTATTTCAGGGTGGAGGGCCCAAAAGAGTAGCGTAATGCTAAATCATTCTGCCTGTAGTAACGCTTTGGCTGAAAATGACATTTTTGGCCAAAAAACATGGGGGATTTGGAGGGCAGAGGGAGTCCATGGGGTCCCCATGGACTTCACATGGCCCACAGGCCTCATCTTTCCCAGCCCTGTAACAGACATTGTCCTTGTATTTCCAGGCAAGGTTGAATGAATGACAATGGATAGGACAAGTAATTGTTTCTTATATTCACAAACCCAGCTGCAATAAGATTTTGAAAGCTACTAAGCCATTTTCAAAAGCCTCCTCCAAGCCAGGAGACACGCTTCACCAGCATACTACAGAGGTATCTGGATAAGGTAAGAGGCAGCCATTCTGAATCAAAATAGAGTCTAGTACAGGGGTAGGCAACCTTTTTCAGCCGGGGGCCGGTCTGCTGAAGTCCTCCCTTCCGGCGGGCTGGGGGGGGAATGGCGGCGTGCACGCTCATGCATGTGTGTGCAACCCTGCCGCCGCACGTGACCCCAGCCACGCGTGCCGCCGCATATGTCACGGCCACCATTTTGTTTTCCAAAATGGTGGCTGCAACACGCGCGGCTGCACGGCAGCCAAAACTCATAGCGGCAGTGGCAGGCAGCGGTGGCGGCAGCGGCAACAGGGTTCAGTGGGGGCCGGTAAGTAGGGGGCCCCGGGCCAGAACCGGCCCAAAGGCCATAGGTTGCCGACCCCTGGTCTAGTTCTTCAATTCATTTGGTTTCTCCAGTTATATCTAGCAGGCAAGGTCAGCTTCACCAGTGCCTCCCAAAAATACAAGACAGCACATTCACACACATCTGCAAGTTCAGAGGCAAGCTCCTTGTTTTCAAAGGGGACCATGAGTCAGTGCTCTAGGAAGACATTGAAAATGTTTTAGAGGAACCTGGAGACAGTACCCTGAGGAAATCTAGAAGAGGAAGATGTCTGGCTTCTAGAATAGTTTTTCTAAGTTGAGGATAGCAGTGGTTTTAAGGAGTGGTGGGGTCTACACACCATTTCTCCAAGAAGGAACCCAGAGAAGGCCTTGCTTTTTGGAGATAGCAGCGAGCCACTTCTCCAAAGGATCTTGGAGAAGGCACCAAGATTATTTCCAGAGAGATGCAGAGATAGCTCCATACTAGTATTCAGAGGGAATGCAGAGCATGTGATGAGCCAATGCCTACAGCAGTGTGAGCAACTGCCAAGGGTGTTGTGCAGCACTAGATCTTTGTGAAGGTTGGATGACAACCATCTCTCATCCAGTTTTCCTGAAGGAAGAAGTTGATTCTTGGCACTGCAGGGAAAAAAAAATAGGATAGTGAGGAGGCATCATCAACATCATCATTATCATCACCACCACCAACACCACCATCATCACCTTTACCTTCATCTTGTCTTTCCTTTATCTTTGGGAAAGGGGTGTTTCCATGTCTTTAAAAAAGGTAAATAGAGATAGAAAGTAGGGAATAGTAGGGGTAGAGTTTACCTCTTTAGTCCCAGTGATAAATTACATTACAATGGGTCCTTGGTATCTCCTGGTATTCTGGTATTCCAGAAACCCTAGTGGATATCAAAATCCATGGATGCTCAAGTCCCATTATATACAGTAACATA